CTGACGTCGGAGAAATCGATATTTCTCCGTCTTTGGAGCAATTTTTATCCATTTTTTGGTTTGGGTTCAATATATTTTATACTCATTGAAAAACATATTTCTATGTTGATTTTGCTATTTTTTACACGTTGAACAAAAAAACAAAAATGTGAATTTGCAGTTTCCAAAGACAATAGGATAATACACCTTGGAAAATACACCATTTTCTCATTAAATTTACCTCTGACACCGGGCGATCCCCACCTCTTTTAATCACAGATTATACCCACTTAAGTATGAGGTGAATGGGTGTTTTTTTTTTAATCAAAAGCAAGACAAAATTGAACAAACTTTAAAATGCTACCAATAACTCTGTCTGCCCAAAAATTGACTGGTGCCTGCTTCCACCGCGTCGTGATGCATATAACATTATTGCTTTCAGGAATGAAAAAGCCCCCGATATTCGAGCTTTGACTTCTGTTCTTGCACACTCTCCTCTATATCCCTCTATCTTTCCTTTCTTTCCATGCCTTGTATAGCTTTCATAGACCCCTAACCCCTCCCCACCCACTTTTACCACGCTTCCTACCTTTTTTGCCCACACCTCCTACTTCCCCTTCACCCTCCCCCCATTTCCTACTGCCACGTCCTCACCCTTCCTTTCCTCCTCCCTTTCCTCCTCCCGTTTTCTTCAGTTTTTGGCCTAAACATCCCATAGTCTTCTTTTTTCCACCTCTCCTGCCTTCCTCATTCTCCTCCTTCTCTTCCTCCCACTACTCTCCCCTGTTCACCTTCTTTTCCTCCCTTACCTCCCCCCCCCTTGTCTCCTCCCTCCCTCCCCTTTTCCTCCAATAATTAATCCCTTTACCAGTCTGCCTTATTGAACAGACTTCATTATGGAGAGTGTTGCCAAACTTAACGCTTTGATGTAACCACGACATGACTCCAACAACTGCATGACTTCTTGTGTTAGCCTAATTTGTCTTTAATTGGGTGCCTGGTGGTTTTTCCGTATGTTTGTGTGATTGGGTTTTTTGGTCAATGAGTGTGTCCTTGAATAACCCCCCCCCTACCTCCACCCTCTCCCAGCCTCCAACATTTCACACATACACATACAGCACACACATACACACACACACACACACACACACACACACACACACACACACACACACACACACACACACACACGCATTCAGGGAGAGAGAGAGAGGGAGAGAAGGAGAGAAAGAGAGAAAGAGAGAGACAGACAGACAGAGAGAGAGACAGAGAGAGAGGGAGGGGGGGGAGAGATTGTGCATGCATGTGTGCGCGTTTACGTTTGTGTGTGCGTGTATTATTATTCTTTTTCTTTTTCAAGAGCAAATTCCTAAACCGACATTGGTGATCATGGTTCACGTCTAGTCCCTGCTCAGATGCTCTTAAAAGCATAATAACATTATTATCCTGGTCTTTCCCTGTCCCTCATATTATGTTAAGGTTCTCCAATTACCCTTGGTGTCTACTTCGTTTGCTGTTTTTCCAGTTAGAGCAAAATGTTCAAGGCCTTTATAATATTATGTCGATTTCATAGTACAAAGATTTGGATTTATCTTTTCTTTATTACTATTTTCAAATTAGTACAACAAGGGCGTATTTCAGCACTACCTCTTGGTTCGATTGCTTTCCGTCTTGAAACTTTCAAACATTCCTTTTAGAAGTAAGAGAAATATGTTTTCGTGTAGAGTGTTGAAACGTCTTCGACTTTTATTTTGCTAATAGTTTCTTCTCAGTATCGTTTGTAATTGTCCAATTTTCACAGCTATACCCCCCCCCCCTGCTCGGTGCGATGTTATTTTCTGAAGTGTCTTTAGGCCCTTTCCAAGGGGGGGGGGGGGACATTAAATTGTTCCTACGCACAGTAGAATTGCAAATGGGCTGATTCAACGATGTCAAGCTCATAACTGTGCCTCAACTGCAACAGGGAACTGTAGCTTTGTCTTTCCTAATCCTTACTATCGTCATATTTCCTCTACTTCTTTTGTATATGCACTCTTGTGACCCTCTATTTCTGGGGTGCTTTGATAGCCGAAGCAGACTTTGTGCTGTTGAAGCTAGAGAGTTTAGCAGAGTAAGCCTTATTCCCTGTAAGGGCTTCTCTGTTAAGGGGGGGGGGGCTACACCTGGAGGCTATCTCGCTTATTACTGGACCGAATTTTACCAAATTTCACACATAACAAGCATAGTAAGGAGTCTTAAAATCCGCAATCAAATTTGAGAAACAAAGTTTCGTTTCAATGGATACGCCGCCATATTGGATTTTATTGACCTGTCTTACGTAATGAATACCGCACTTATCGCTCATGGAAATTGATTGTTTTTTTGCATGCGTGTTCACAAACATTAGATCTAAAAAAAGTTGTTGTTTTTTTTCTTAATCAAATTAGAAAATTTTTAATGAATTTTTTCCTGAGGTAGCATTCAAGTTTGCGAAAAATCCGTGAAAATCCACACTCCAGACACCACCAACAAAAATCTATTC